ACGAGTGCCCCACACACCCTTTCGTCCCCGGAAAGGATCGCAAGGGCACCACTCGCTGCTCTTCTCGTCGGGAAATCCTCTACATCTGCCAGGGCGAGCAGAATCTGCAGCCGCGACTCGACCATCGCCGGCGTCGTCTTGGGGGTGCTATTGGGCACATACCGCTCGAATCCTTCATCACACATGACCAAATTGCACATCAACTCTGTCGCTGCTCGTCGAATCATCTCGTGTTCATCCAATAGCAACCCCTCAACGGATCCAATCAGCTGAGGTGTTCGCACCAATCTGTTCGCCATCTCTGGACCCAGGGACGCAATGTTGGTCACCGCCATCAATGCCTCAAACTTTTGCAACCCAGTCGGCAGTTGATTATCGTTCACGGAAATCCGCAACGGCGACTTATACGACGCGGCCGAGACCGCATCCGAGAACGTGATAACACGAGCCAGAGGTGCAATCGCATCCAGCGTTGCCCCGCGATCCGGCCCAAACACTTGCACAGGTTGTGCAGTGATGGCTAGTTTCGACAGGGCTTGAATGGCAACCCAATCGGGGACATGGTTCATCTCGTTTACCGACACTGCACCAGACGACACTGGATCTGCCTTGATAATTTCCATCAAAGCCTTTCCACCTCCATTCTTTAAGATATCTCCTCGATTCGTCTGGTCTTCAGCGATGGCGAGGTAGATTCTGGCAGTGCATTCTCGTGCAGGCCGGCTGTCACTTCGAGCCAATCCAGCGAGCAGAGGCAAGATATTGGCAGCACACAGTTTCTTGATGCGAGCTTTGACGGCCGCGTTGGCTGTGCGAGGGTCTTCTCCCTCGTCCTGCATCTTTCGTGGTCGCTCATCTTCACCCTCTTTGGCAAGAGTCGGTTTGGTCATCCGTCGCAGTTTGGCGATTTGCTCCTCCTCTTTGCTCAGCTTGGGTCGGTATTGCGAAATATTGGCGAACAAGAGGGCTAATCCGTAATGCAACCCTACGTTGACTCGCGGGTCCTCTGCTTTTGCCTTGGTAGTACCTCCGCCGGAGCTCGAGGAGCTCCTAGATGGAAATGAGGTCGATGGTTTGGTCTTTTTGGTCGTTGCAAGACCAATCGACACGAGACGTTTGAGGAGTTGGGCGTTCGAGGCAATATGGTCTCGGACGACGGGATGTACGCTCAGGTAAGCCAATCCCTCGACACTATCTAAAATCACTCCAGGATTGGCCAGAGAAGTGATCTCGGAAGCGTCAGAAAGGATAGCCTTTTCAAGGAGCTGAGCCAGTTGCTCAGGAGAGGTTTCTTCTGCACGTTCAGGCGGGGGAGATGCGGCTGGGATACCCGACATTGAATTCTCCTCATCCAATAGTCTGCCTTGAGCTAGCTTGACCAATGCTAGCGCCGAGGTCGATCTCAGCCTGGCATCCTTGGACTCGACGAGACCCTTTAGCCATTTGGTGGCCTTTCCGTCCTCTGCTCCTAGTAATAGTTTTCTGCATTGTGTATTCCCAATGACTTGTGATAAAAAGGCTGCGAGTACTCTTTGCAATCGAGTCGTAGAGGCGGATGAGGGCAGAGAAGATGCGAGTTCAATGATATCCAGTATACACTCCATGTTGCCGGTTCGTTCGAGAATCGATGCAACGGTTTGCGAGTCGACCTGTAAGAGGGCAGAAAGAAAGGACAAGGTGGCCGTGAGTTGTGAAACGTTGGTCCCCCGTATGGTGTCTTCCACCGTAGGATAAAACGCTGCCGCCAACTTTCTCGTCGCTTCTTTCTCTGCCTGCTCAGAAAGTGGTTGTGAATCTGG